CAATAATGAGACTCGACCCCTCTCCCCAGGGGCACCAAACGGGCAGGCCCGGAGAGAGCGGTCCAGCTCGAAGGCGGGAGGGCGGGCGACCTCCTCGGGGACTTACACCTTCCGAGATGCGAGAACAGGAACCTCAGGGCCTTCGCGACGCCGGCCGTGAGCGCCTCCTGCCAACCAGGGTCTCCCGTGTTGTCCGGTTGCTCTGCGGAAGGACAGGCGGGCTTGAGAAACTTGAGAACGGGGGTCTTAGTGATGCTTTTTTTGCCTTTTTGGTTGTCATGGTGATTTTTATAGGATGGGCCATTTGCCGATGTGTGAATTTGTCTTTTTTTCATTGTCGATAATACGATCTCTCTTTCTCTGACTCTCTCTTTATCTCTCTTTCCCTCTCTCTCTCTCTCCCTCCCTCCCTCCCTCCCTCTCTCTCTCTCTCATACACATCACTTCTCCCCCTCTTCCTACCTCCATTCTCTCCTTCCTTTCCTCTTTCCATTTTCCTCTCCTCCTTCCACTCCCTCCTCCTTCCATCTTCCCCTTCTCTCCTTCCATTCCCTCTCTCCTCCCTCCTCCTCTCTCTTCCCCCTCTCCCTCCCGCCCCTCTCCTCCATTCCTCTCTCCCTCCCTCCCTCTCCATTCCCTCCCTCTCCCTCCCTCCCCTTCCTTCCCTCCCTCCTCCCTCCTTCTCCCCTCCTCCCTCCCTTCCATTCCCTCCCTCCCTCCTTCCATTCCCTCCTTCCCTCCTCCTCCTGTCTCTTTCCTTCCCTCTTCCCTCCTCCCTCCCTCCCTCCCATTCCCTCCCTCCCTCCTTCCTCCTCCTCCTCCTCCCTCTTCCATTCCACCTCCACCTCCCTTCCTCCCTCCCTCCCTCCCTCCCTCGCTCCCTTCCACCTCCCACCTCCTCCCTCCGTCTCTCCTTCCATTCCCTCCCTCCCTCCTTCCCTCCCTCTTCCATTCCTCCCTTCCCTCCTCTTCCATTCCCTCCCTCCCTCCCTCCCTCCCTCCCTCCATTGCCTCCCTTCCGCAACCCACCTTCTCCTCGCTGGTCCACCTTACTCCAGAAGCAAGAGGCGGTCACCACGGCGGTCGCAACCACAGCGTAGGCGAGGGCGAGGGAGAGCGCGAGGGCGTCCACACTCAGGATAGGAGGTTCCTTCTGCTGCGTCGGCGGCGGGAACTCGGGACGGCGGGCACGAGGGCAGGCAGTCGGAACAGCGGCAGTGGATGGCTGGGTCCTGAGGGAGGTGGATGGGTCAGGGGGAGGAGGGGGGGAAGAGAGGAGGAGGAGGAGGAGAAGCAGGGAGAAGTAGAGGAGGAAGAAGAGGATGACGAGGAAGAGGGAGAGATGGACGGGAAGGTTTTTTTTTTCTCATTTTTTAATATGTAAAGATTTAGTTTTAATTCCATTCGCTACAGTGGATATTCTTTGCTGTGACATGGTCTCTGCTTCTGAATCTCCCCCTGCGTGCGAGGAATGGCCGGGGTGACCATCCACTGGCAGCGCGCGGGATCGAACGCAGGTCAACATGGTGGCTAGACAAGCACGTTGCCATTGAACCACACAGGGGGAGAAGAAGGTCAAGGAGGAGGAGGAGAACGGGGAAGAAAAGAAGTGGAAACGGGGAAGGTGACAGACGAGGGAGATAAAAACACGGTCTTATTCATTTATAGGGATAGACAAATAGATTGACTGACTGACTGACAGACAAAGAGACAGACCGACAGATAGACAAACAGAGAGACAGGCAGATAGAAAGACAAGTAGACAGACAGACGCAGACAGAGCTTCCCTACCGAGGTGTTGCAGGGCGTGGTGGAGACGTCGAAGGGGTGCATGGTGAGAGTGGCGTTGTCGTAGATGTTGCTCACGCCCTCGAGGTCCTCGGTCGCCCACCTGTACGTGATGTTGAAGGGGGCGAAGTCGTTGTTGCCGAAGTAGGAGAACAGCCTGGCGGGGGAGGTGGGACGGGGGGGGGGTCAGTGTCGCTCTTTTGCGGTTTCTCTTTCTCTCTTTCTCTCTCTCTCCCCCCTCTCTCTCATGCACACACACACACACACTCTCTCTGTCATTCTATCTCTCTCTCTATCCCCCCCCCTCTCTCTCATGCACACACACACACACACTCTCTCTGTCACTCTATCTCTCTCTCTATCTCCCCCCCCTCTCTCTCATGCACACACACACACACACTCTCTCTCTGTCACTCTATCTCTCTCTCTCTCTCTCTCTCTCACTCAAACACACAAACAACACAATGTCTCTTTCCTCTCTCTCTCTCCATGTCTCTCTGTTTCTCTCTCTTCTCTCTTCTCTTCTCTGTCTTTTCTCTCTCTTCCCTCTCTCTGTCTCTTCATCTCTCTCTCTCTCTTCTCTCTCTCTCTCTCTCTCTCTCTCTCTCTCTCTCCTCCCTCCCTCCCTCCCTCCCTCCCTCCTCCCATCCCTTCCTCCCCTCTCCTCTCGTCTGTCTCCCTTTCCTCCTCCTCACTTCTCGGGCGTGCAGCT